TGAGGAGATGCACCTATCAGTTAGTGTTAAAGCACATTGATTAATTTTGCTTGTCAAAGCCACTGGGGTTAACAACTTCCTGGCAGAAACTCTGATCAGTGTAAAATATTACAAAAGTAAGGACAAGCATAATAGTTCCCCTTTAAAAGAACAGATGTATTTTTCCTTCAAACCTGGAATGAACCTGGTTTTATTCAATCTTGACAAACACACAATAGACTGAAACCAGTGCAAGTTCTTTCCTCTTGGTGCCACTAATGGCTAAAACCAGTTAATTGTTACAGCCATTATATTGGAATTAAAAACAGAGAACCAGTCATCATTGCCACTAATGGAGAAACACGTCTTCTAAGTACTTTCTTGCCAGATGGGCTCATTATCTCCCATTTGTAAGAAAGGCAGCAGCTTGGTTTAATTGAACAAAATGGACTTTTACATGTAGAGCTGCATTCATCATGGTAAATGAGCTCAGCAGTAATCTAAAGTCTCCCATTGCACTTGAAAACCTGTTCCATCTCTCCACTTTTGTGACTGTGCATGAAATATTGTAAAGCAAGTGCTTCTCAGGCGTTTATTCTTTTACATATTGGCTGCTGCTGAGTACCTCTGCCACCCCATCATTCATGGGCGTATGTCAGTACACCCATGATTCTTTGGGTCAAATAAATTATTATGTATGACTGGTGAAAGATGTGTATCCACATACATTGAAAAAAATAGGTGGACTGTTCTTTACAGACCCAGACCTAGTGCTGCATTTTTTATTTTACTCTGCACAACTTTTCCCGCAATTACAGTTTAGTTATTTTAATCAGCATTTTCTTTTGTTTTTACAGTAGTCAATGTTTGTACACAGGAAATACAAGCTAGTTGCATGCATTGTAACTCATATAGAGGCATCCAAAGAAACAAGTCAGGGAAACGGAGAAAAGACACTAAAGTAGCGTAATAGTTGTATCAAAGTTTATTGCATTGAATTTTAATGCATGCTGGCTTTTACATTTTGGATTTTTGTTTGAGGAAATGTTCTCTAAATGGACCTCCTTGATCTGTATTTGAATGATGATGTAGATGATAGATGTAGCTTTTAGATCTGAAGTCAAGTTGACGCAAAATGGCCTTATAACGACCACCAGGGGGCGATGACTGAGGTTGCAAACACGGGTTCTGATGCTACAGAAGAATATGGGAACTGTTTTATTGATGATTTGATGGGCTCGGTCACTCCATTCTGATCATATCAAACATGTTAAGTTCATTTTATGTGTTTATGTGTATGTGCATTATACGTATCACTAGGATTATCTAGGATATATTATAGGTTGTGGGTTCACAGTAAAATTTACAACGCACCAGTCACCTTTGGTTTTAAAGCACCAAAATGGAACCAGTGAAAATACTCATCCTGAAGCTTCTTAATGACATTCAAAAACAGATGGATCCTACCACAGCAGCTGGATCTATCTTTTATACATCTATAAGTAACGATGCCATTGGTTGCATAATGTGAAACAGGAGCCAGGTGTAGGTGTAGCATGTTAAACCCTTTCAAGTTTTGGAAAGAACATTGAACATTTATTTCTCATTCACTGCATCCTGGGATCTAAATTCTTCTCACCATCACCACTGTGCACCACTCTGTATGCTCACCAGTATTCAGGTGGATGACAGAAAGTATACAGACTGCTGCTAAAGTTTTCTTTCTGTCACAAACTTTCTCTGTGTATGAAGTGTTTGAGCGAGCAGCTTTCAGAGGTAAAATCCCCTGTTCTTCCCCACATGTTCTGAATGCAAAGCAATTCTGCAGCACTGAGGAAACATTTGATTCCATTAGACACCACACTGAATCTGCTGGTTTTATCATCCATTGATCTGTTCACCACAACCAGCAGCCTCTTTGCAAAGCTCTGTAGTGTAAGACATAATCATTCTGTAAGAACATGCGTCATACTTATTAAAAATGGCTTTAATGAGTGCCTTTATTGGCTTTAATAGGCGCTTTACTTCCATTGTAGTGTTTATTGTCTAATAGCACTTTTGGTTAGCACAGCTGCAGTCTGTTGTGTCACTAAGATGGTTGATCTACAGTATCAGGCATCATAGCTGAGACAATTGGGAATGTTTCTCGTTATGCTGGGGAAAAAGTATTAATTGTCCCTCATTTTAAATTTTGACTTCAGCGAGATTTTGGGATTAGTTTAGCTTGTTAACAGGATTATTCAAAACTGTGTTTCATAAACATTTCAGTAGAAATCTGGCTCGGCCCTGCTTAGAGCTGACTAACCTTTGAAGTTGATCTGGATCCAGACACCTTTAAAATGGCTCTTTATCATCTTTATCATCAAAACCTTTAAAAGTTCCATTTTTTTCCCCTTTAGTTGACAAAACAGAGGATGAGCAACAAAATGAGGAGGAGAAAATGGTCAGGGGTGGATTTGTTGCCAGAGAGTTGCCAAACAGAAGTTGGCATTTTAAACCATATCTGTCACGGTTCGGCATGGCAAACCGTGGGGGGTGTGGGGAAGGAGGACCCAGGCGCGGTGCTCTATGTACAAGCAGTGCGTTTATTTACAGTGATGGAACTGATACACAACAATAATACATCCCCGTGTGCTCCCGACTTCCACTCCGTGTCTTCTCCCCGTGTTTGTGCCCATGTGTCTGCTCCCTCGTGCCAGTGCACTCTGTGTCTGCTGCCCTCTCATCCAGCAATCCTTCCTGGGAAAATAGAGGCAGTAGTTAGTACCCTCAGTTCACTTGGTAAGCTCACACTCACAAACAGACCAGCTGGAGAACTGACGGGAAGTCTCACGAAATGATCCCACGTCGGTGGGAGCTCCAAGACTCTTAAGTAGCTCCCCCGACGAGGCCTGATCAGCAGCAGGTGTGTGGCTTCGGGTGTGGCCAGTCCGCCAGCAGGGCCACACCCACCAGGCCTGAAGGCGCCCGCAGAAACACACACACACACACACACACACACACACACACACACACACACACACACACACACACACACAAGCAGGGATAACGAGGGACAGCAATACAAAATATATATTATAATATTAGTCCATAACTGCTCAGGGATCCTGGGTCGCTCAGACCCAGGATCCCTGACAGTATCTAAAAAATATACACTTATCAAATACTTCATTTTTTACACTGTGCTACAACCTTGTGTTGTCAGCTAGGTGAATTTAGAGTTCACCCAGCACCTCGTAGGTTTGAAGCATGAATTCTGTAAACCCTCCAAAATAAGTGACACAATTACCAGAATAACCAGAATACGACACATGAGTTGTGCTTGCAACATGTTGGCAATGTAAAAGCCATTGTCTGTGCAATTGCCTTGTGATTGAACGACTGTTTTACGCTCAACATCTTGATGACCAGCGGGTTGCTGCAACTACATGCAGTTGGTTGTTGAAAGCAAAAAAAATTCAACACATTCACTGGTCAACCACCTATTTTTTTCCATTGTTGCATGGAGGTTTCCATCCTTGTATTGTCCGTGTTTTTATATTTAACAGTTATAACCGCTCACTTCAGCCAGACAGTCCAACAAGTGAAGTGAACCCTCTGGTTACAGATGAGTTGTCCTTAGTGAAATGCTAAAAAAATCTTCTGAACTGGCTGCAGGTGGTGACAGCAGGTCTCTGAAGGCTGATTGCAGCTAAATCTTTAATGTAAGCACAGTAAAAAAGTGGTTTAGGACAAAGATGATAGGCTTATTTGATCACTTTGATGCCACTGATGGAGAGAATAGAAAAGCATCCTGACGTTTAACCGTCTGTGATGGCGTTGCACCTCCATCCTGATGTCATAAGGTCATACATGTAGCTGAAGGTCATGCATTTATATTGTCACCAGTGCAGTCAGGATACATGTATCACCTGGGCCGGTTCATTCTGGCGTAACAAAGCCTCGCTAATGATGTTTGTGTCCAGACCTAACTGGATCTCCTGATGTGCGGCACTCAGTGCTGCCTTTAATGAGATCTGACTCGCCCGTGCGTCTGGGGGTCCGTGTGATGCTGCACCTGAACCTGTCACTATGGCAACCAACAGGTTGCGTTTCTACAGTGACACAACCCCTCTGAGTGTCTCCTTCACTCCGGTTTCTTTGCCTCTGTGTCTCTCATCTGCATTGTTTGTAGAAGTGTTTTTTTGTCAGATGCTAAATACTGACACAGTACAGATGTTTTTTCTGCATTGTACCCAGCGAAGGTTTCAGCTGGAGCCAAGATGTGTTCTAACTGTACAACTAAGATGTTTGTGAATGTGGACATTAGTCATTTGTTTTTATTTTTAACAACTGGTTAATGTAATTTGTGGTCGTTTTCAAAAAAGTAACATATATCACACGTTACTTAATAACTAATCTAAAAATTATTTATTATGGTTTTTTTTTTCTCTACTCACCAAGAGGACCTGAAATGTTTTATAATTATGAGTGAAAAGCATAAAGATTAATCTTAGGCTAACTTCAGTCTCTTAGTCCTACACACTGACAGGATTCCTTATTTTGAAACACGTGAAAAACTCTGTCAATGTGGAAAAGTAAAAAGTCAGATGTCACGTCGATTTTATTGTAGAAATAGATATAGATAGAAATTGAGAGTTGAAGTTGGACTGCTTTTTTTTGGCACTTATTCTGTTCCCTGTTAAATATTTGGCTCATACATTCATCTGTAACATCACTCTACATTCTTTGCTGCTGGCTTTGTGTTCACCTGCTGATTTTGCAGATGTTTTGCAAAGAGGTGATGTCCTGTTAGCATTAGAGGATAGTTGTGTTGTTTCTGGCCTGGACCCAGGTTTCACTTAACTGTCACTTCTTCTGAATATTTTTTTTTAGCTCAGAAAAAGTGAAAGCGGGTGTGAATAAATTATTACCATTATTACCATTTCTTACAACATGACAACCTACTACATTCGATTTAAGGCTAAAAACAGCTTAAGTAGTCACGTTTTGATATTTAAAAATGCGTATTTGTTTTCTAGTCTCTCCAGAGGTGCTGGGGTTTCTGACAGCCATCGGACTCTTCATCATCCTCATGACTTTCCTGTTTTGGTACCTCAACAATAAGTTGGCACTAGAGAACCCAGGAAGCCTTCAGTGCCTTGATGAATTCAGGAAAACCACTGAGCTGCAAGGTGAGCATGCATAAATTTAAAATGAAAGCACATTCGGTTGTCTTTCTTTCACATCTGATTTTCTTTAGTGCCTTTGATCCCAGCACGAGGCCCTGCCTCTGCATGGAGGCATTTTCCACTGACACTGGCCTTTCTCAGCCCATGCCGGGATTACTGTTACTGACAGCTGTAGGACTGTTTACTTGTCATCTGCCCACGGGGGCTTCAAAGGTTTAAAAGGTTGGTGCCCCCCGGGAGCCCACACGGGGAGTTTGCTCGACTCAGAGAAGCCATCTGCAGAAAACAAAGGCAGGCAGTGTAACGCAGCAAAGTGACTAATCTCAATGACCTTCTGTGTGGACAGATTTGGAACAGTGGCTGTTTTGACAGACACATGAGACAAATATTTGAGTTCGAATTGTTACCGGTCTGTTGAAAAAACAGTTTACAGTTTCCTGATTCTGTTTGTTAAAGATGTATGTATTGAAGACTGCATGTTGTAAGTGGGAATGTATGTTGAGTTAGTGGGAAGGTTTGCAGAGCAACCACGGATTGGGTTATTTTAAAAGCTGTGCTGCCTCCTGCTGGAAAAAATACAAAGCTACAGTGAGAGAAAACTAGCTTCCTGACTTCGCTTACTGCTCTGATCAGCTACATTTTTATTCTCTGCTTTATTGTGTTTCTTTCCCTAATTTTAATTATCCCCTCACTGAGCATCTGCATCACATTGAGAAATACCTTCTTCTAATTGAGAGGACGTGTAACTAACTATAGTCTTTAAGTGACCACTTAGAGCAGGGATGTTCAACTCCAGGCCTCAAGGGCCGGTGTCCTGCAGGCTTTAGATATCACACCTAAATCAAATGATTAGGTCATTATCAGACCTTTGGAGAACTTCAAGACATGTTGAGAAGGTAATTTGGCCATTTAAATGAGCTGTGTTGGATCAAGGACACATCTGAAACCTGCAGGACACCGGCCCTCGAGGCCTGACTTAGAGTTTGAATATTTAAGGATGGCAAAGATAAAAAAAAAAGTCTTTTATGTTTTCCATGAATAGTTGTCAGCTGTGTAACAACTGTGCACAGAGCACCATGGCAGCTTCATTATTGGAAATAATCTTCATTACTGTTTAAACAGCCTCCACTGTGACTTCAGGTTGCTGCACACGTTCAAAGTTTAGACTATTGAAAGTCTTGGTTCACTCAATCTCAATCTGTCCTCCGTGTGGAATCACACGTTTGCCTGTTTAAGGGTCTCTTAAATGGTATTGTGAAAACGCAGCAGCTTTTATTGAGACGCCCTCGCCTGCCTGCAGTGGAAGGCAAATTGGCTCTGGCAATTTGTGCTTTTGTGTTCAGATCACGTCCATTAGCTTTTGTAAAACACACCTGTTACAAATCTATCCAGTTTCTTTTCAACCTTTGTAGTAGTTTCAAAACGTGTCACCTGTTCAGCTTTTAAAACAACAAAAATCTCATTTTGGCGCGTAGGAATGGGGCGTAGGAGAACACCTGGAGAATATCTCATCCGCCGTTGGCCAGGCTGCCAGTCTGTCACGGCACAGCTAATAAATACATTTGGAAGCTCTTTTTTAAAAGCATTGATGAAAGCAGGTTGTTGTTGTGACTCAAAAGGCATTAACTGAAAGTTGCATGATTGTTGCTGGATTCATACAACCAAAGCAGGTGAGCAGATTTGGCTAACCATCAGTTAACCGAACTAAATGAGTTTATGCATTTGACAAATTTATGACTCGTTTAAAGGATGCTTTAGTCCATAAATGCTATCGAATTTAGAAGAGATTTAAATTTAATATGTGATGAAGAAAGAGTCGCATTGAGTGATAATTCCAGTAGAAATGTTGTAGAACCACTTGGCAAGATAAACAAGAAAACCCATAAGAGTATATGACATCAGAGTAAATGACACACAGACTGAAAACACAAGCAGAATTTTAAACATCTTGTAAATTTCTCTGAATTCAGTCACTACATCACGCTGGATGTGTGATGGAGGTAATTTGGTGGAGGAGAAACCAAAAGGAGAGAGTAACATCGCAGGATGAGGGTGCAGATGTTCCTTTTTAATCACAGGGCTCTTCTGTTTTCACTGCAGTTACTTATCAAAGGCTTTTCTGAGCGATCACGAGCTTTCTGTTCAGAATGATCCAATAAGCTACAGCTGCCAGAACCAGTGCAATGATTTTTTTCCCTCATTGATTTTATCTGTTGTTTCCACCCATACAGTGTTTATTTTTATATATAAAAAGATGCTTCTTAAAGTGAAGCCAAAGTAAAATTGTCTTAAACCTGAATTCCATCTAATAGCCAGCAGGGGGCATCTCCTCTGGTTTCAAAATGCTGTCTATGGAAGGACATCCCATCAGATCAGCAAACATGTAGTGCTTACAAAACCTATTAGACCATCACCCAGTGTGAGGTTTAATCCTCAGATGTTCTAAATTAACAGTATTGGTGATTCTCAAAATCAATTTTATGTTTTTGTAATGGTTACTCCACCAGTGTGTGCAAGCTCTTTAATCATATTCTTTCATGCTAAACTATAAGTATTGTTGTTATCCAAACATTTTCAATTTTACTCTTTTAGAAACAGCAGAAAAACAAAGTAATGCACATTATTAGTTTTTGATTAAGATGCCAGATTTTCCATCATTTATTTGCTTTCTTGAACAGAAAAATTACTTTTGGTGGTTGTCCGCTCAGATTTGGGTGTTAAAACAAGAATTCACTTTGTTTTTTACCTGATAAATATCATTTTTATTTTAAACAGCTTTTTAAATAACTTGTGTTTTCTTGCTTTTATGACAGGCGGTCTAATAAATGTACCAAACACTCGACCTGATGAGCTTATAGACTTAATCTCTTGTTTAAAGCCTTATTAAATACAGTGCAATGTTCATTTTGCAAATTATGAACTTCATCGACCTTCATTCAGCTACATTCAAATCCTTCACGATGTCCTTCAACCTTTTGAGCCTGTCATCATCCACTTTTGTCATCTTCTGTGGGGTTTTTTCAGCTCTTCCAGTGAATGCTTCCTTTTATTTTTAAAAAAATGTACTAGTTTGTTGATTTGGTCACTTCTAAAGGTTCTTTGTTTTTGTTTTGTTTTTTCAATTGAATGATTAACGGCCTCCCTCACTTGATTGGACATCTCTTTGGGTCTCATATTGAGAGCTCCAGGAGACAGGTAGTTCCAGATCTTTTATCAACATAATTTTTATTTCTATAACGAGGTAACGGGCCTCACATGGCCATAAAACAGTCAGTCAGTAGTCAAATTACTTTTAAGCCCCTCAAAATGTGTGACTGTGTATAAAACTTCCTCAGATAAAGCCAGCAAATTCCTAAAAATACCTCTAATTAATGCTAAAAGTCTTCAGTTCAATCACACCACGATTGTTTTTGTTTTAATTTAATATACACTGTGTGTGTCGAATCATGTCTGAAACAGTTTTTGTGATATATAAGACAGTGTGGAGGGAAATGATTGTGGGACTGACTGTATTGTCCTCTATCCCCAAACAGATAAGGTCTACTCCGACGCTGACTTGCAGGCTTCATCGTCAGACAGCGAGGATGAACTGATGGGTCAGTATCAGGAAGCGGTCAGCCGCTCCCAGGGCCTCAGAGGAGGAGCCAAGGTGTCCTCTAATGCCAAGCACACTGGAGGATTCAGCTGGGAGAGCCGGCAGAAGTACAGCCCGCTTACTGCTGATTATGATGGCTACAGCAGTGAAGCCTCAGCTGATGATGGTGGGTCCTCCCACATTTGACCGTCTTGTATGTTTTCCGTGTATCCACAGATTTGACACAGTGAGAAGTTCAGATATTTCCTTCATATAACCTCAGGGAGTTTTAGTTAAATGCTCACAGTCCTCTGCAGCTCTGTACCAACAAACACAAGAACACCATATGTGTAACACACACACTTACACACACTGTCAGTTAATCTAGAGAGGTGATCAAAGCGAGGCTGCCGTTCAGCACACTCTCCGTGGGAGGGTTGTGAAACAGTCAACTGTCTGTACAATGTGCACAGCCGCAGCCTCGCACTCTTCCTTCTTTTTTTATAACACGTCTATGTTTCCCTTCTGCCCGACTCGCCATCGCTGCGATTGTTCTTCACCCTTGTCGAGGTGGGTTCAGTCACAGAAGAGCGCTGGCACTGACCTCCTTGGATTAGTTTGTTATTCATCTGACACGTTATTGGCCAAGAAGCATATCGTGTTGATTTAACGCTATACAAAAAGCCACTCTTGACTTTCTCCTCAGTAAATGTTTACCCAACTTTATGCTTAAAAAATAGCTTTGCATGGCATAAATGACAAGACTGGCTCTGCCTAAAATGAAGAGACTGTGCATGTCAACACTTACAATGGATGTTTTTTAAGCTCGTGGCTTCCTGAGGTGCTTCTTTCACCTCTATATCCAGCCTGCCATCTAACCCTGTAAGAACCATCCTACACTATGCCCCTAAATGTGAAACTAGCCCTTTAGGGAAAGCAAATAAGCAAATGTATCTGTTGCATAGAGAAGAAAACTGTTACAAGGAATGTCAAATTCATCTAAAAGTCCCCGATTGACCTGTTTTTCCATCCTGCAGAAATATATCGGCAGTGCTGTTGTTGCCTGTTTTCGTCACACCCAGACAGGAATGCTTGTGTCTGACAGTATTTTTCAAAGACAAAAACAATCTAGTCTATGCCAGGGTCCTTGATTGGTGAATCACGTCTGAACCAGTTTTTGTGTTATATAAGACAGTGGGTTCAAGTGCCGGGTGTCTGGCACAGTCTATTTAAAGCCGCGTTTGAATGTGTAGCTGGGAGAGAAGTAGTACATGGCGTGCTTCTGACTCCATTAGCAGAGAGGCAACGGGCTGCACAAGGTTGTTGTTGAAGAAAAGCAGAGCGTCTCCTGATATCCACTAGATGGTCTCTGTTATCTTCAGATGATGCTTTGAATTTTTAGGTCACTATAGAAAATAATCCCACATGGGGAAATGAGTGCTATTCAGTAATATTATACTCCAGGATTTTCAGGTAACTCTTACTAGCAAAACTTTAGAATGAATTTATGTTTAATCTGCCTTCATTTAGAGACACGAAGGAGCCAACTAGAGAATATTGTCCCAAAGGTAATCATTGAAATCTGAATTTTGTTTCTGGTGCCTCAAATGTAAATGTCAGTGCAGTATTTCCTTTGCAGCTGTGATGCTTTAAAGCTTACTTTGAAAATACTGCACTACATGCACTACATGTACTCACTGGCCACATACACCTTGCTAATACTGCGCCTTAACTCTTCATAGTTCAAATTCAAAGATGCGCTGAAAACATTCCTCTAAGATTGACACGATAGCATCACACAGTTGCTGCACATGTGTTGACTTCACATCCATGATCTCTTGTTCCACCACATCCAAGTGCTGCTCTATTTGATTGAGGTCTGGTGACTGTGGAGGCCATTAGAGTACAGTGAACTCACTGTCATGTTCAAGAAGCCAAGTCTGAGATGGTTTCAGCTTTGTGACGTGACCTGTTATCAGAAAATGATTACATTGTGCTCATAAAGGAGTGACAATAATCAGGGAGGCTGTAGACTCAAACAATGCTCAGTTGGTTCTAAGGAGCCCAAAGTGTCAGGACAATGTCCGCCACTCTCCAGTTTGCCTCCCAGCCATTCTCTACCTGCTCAGCCATGTCTACGCCCACCTGGACAAACTGACGTGCACTGTGGGAATCATGTTTTTTGAACTTCTCCAGTGCTTTCAGGCCAGCTCTACTGGTGATAAATTGACAGTGATGCAGGTGGATGCCTCCCTAGTGACCTGGATAGTTTGCTAAGTGACTGGCAGACCACAGTATGTGCGCCTGCAGCACTGTGTGTCGGACAGTAAGTGTAGTAAGCGATATGGGATCCCTGCGGGGCACTGTCCCCTCTCCCTCATCTTCCCCTTTTACACCATGGACTTTAACTCCTGCATTGAGGCCTGACACCTTCAAAAGTTTTCTGATAACTCAGCCACAGTGGGCTGTATCAGGCTGTGGTGGGTAACTTTGTTATGTGATGCAGGCAAAAGCATCTGCAGCTTAACTTGGGCAAACTGTATGTGGATGAGAACACCGCTGACTCCTGTTTGCATTTATGGGGTCTGGGTGGAGACAGTGGAAGATTACAGGTGTCTTGGTGTTCACAATGACAGTAAAATAAACTTCATTAAAAACACAGAAGTGCTCTCCAAAAACTTATCAACTTCTGAGACGACTGAGGTCGTTTAATATCTCCCCGATGATGCTCACAGTGTTGTATGAGCCTGTGGTGGCCTGTGCCATCATCTGTACTGTGGTGTGCTGAGGCAGCAGGTACCAGCAGACTCAATAAACTTACCCACAAGGTCAGTCATGCTGTGGGTGTGGAGCTTTTAGCGTCTTTGTTTTACTTATTTTTTAGTAGAGAAAGTTTACATCCATCCATCTTCTTCCGCTTTATCCGGGGCCGGGTCACACCAAGCCGTTCCCAGGCCAGCCGAGAGATATAATTTCTCCAGCGTGTCCTGGGTCTGCCCTGAGTCCTCCTCCCGGTGGGACATGCCCGGAACACCTCACCCAGGAGGCGCCCAGGAGACATCCTTGACAGATGCCCAAACCACCTCAACTGGCTCCTTTCGATGTGGAGGAGCAGCGGCTCTACTCTGAGCCCCTCCCGGATAGCTGAACTTCTCACCCTATCTCTAAGGGAGAGGCCAGCCACCCTTCGGAGGAAGCTCATTTCCGCCGCTTGTATTCGCGATCTCGTTCTTTCGGTCACTACCCACAGCTCGTGGCCATAGGTGGGGGTAGGAATGTAGATTGACCGGTAAACTGAGAGCTTCGCTTTTACGCTCAGCTCTCTCTTCACCACAACGGACCGGTGCAGCATTTACATTTTCTTTCATATTTATAATTTTTAATTGTGTGTCGATAATAAAAACAATTTCCCCTGCTGGATTGATAGTGTTTTGATTCTGATTATACCTCATGCAGAGGTATAATCAGGAACTTCTCAGGAACATCGCCTGTGAACGTCAGAGGTGCTTGTGTAGGATCAGCAGTAAGTCAGCTGTTTCTGCCTACGTGGCACCAATAACAATGTCACATTCACCCCCCCCCCCCCCCCCCCACACACACACACACACACACACACAGACAATCGGACGCTTAGTTTGCTCAGTTCATGATGTCATTGTGACCATGTCTAGATCAGTGCAAACAGGAGCTGACATGTGATTGGCCAATATTTGTATTAACGAGCAGTTCGACATGTGTACCTAATAAAGTGGCTGGTGAGTATATATTGACTGAGCTGTTTACTTTGGTTTGAAGTCATGTTTGTTTTCTTGCACAAATCCATCACTGACTACTTGCCTGTTGCAGGAACGTCACGTAGTGAGTGTTCTTTGTGCGTGAGAGAGAAGCAGGGATTTGAGTCACAAGAGCCTGCCAGCAATAATTTGAAATTTACTCGGTTTATTTATGACAACATGTTAGCTACGCAAGGTCTTGTTTTGATTTTTTTCCTCATGATTCTAATACCCTTAAAGGTTTCAAGGATTATCCAGATAACTGGCAGATGATGTATTTCTTGGCTGCCAAGAAAACAAATTCAAGGCAAAGCAGTTGTTTGTGTGCCTTCTGTAAAGTTTTTGGTTCATCAGATCATAATCAGCTTACTTATAGTTGCTCGACTATAACCAAAGAGGAGGTAAAAACTCTGTCCGTCTGTGGCTGCACTTCGGTTGAAAGTACTGGAGGATCATTATTTTCCTCCCTGTGGTAAGGCTTTGATGGCTGTGGTTTTCTCTCCCACTAAGCCATCGTGGACCAGCAATATCAAAGCAGCGGCCTCGTGCCATGGCTGACATTGGTTCAGGCTTTCTCTGCAATATGGAAAGTTTCATTAGATAAATGGGTGAATCGTTTCCATGATTTTCCACGAGCGCTAAAGGACACGCATTTCATTATTTTTTCAAGCAAACAGCCATAAAAGCTTCCTCTCCACACCCACAGCTACCGCTGTTGTGTTTGTCTGAGTATGAAGAGCTTCATCCTCAGGACATATGTATAAAACATGAGGAGGATTGTGCCAGAGCTGCAGAATCAGAGTTTGGGTGCCCCGGTGGCTTCACTCAGACTCCAAAAATAGGAAGTAAGCAGAAAGCAGAAAAATGATCTAAGGTTTCCCTTCTCTGAAGTAAGCCCCTGCTCTAATGGCCACTTTGAGAACCGTGTTGCACAGCATGTACCAGTGCTTTTTGATGGTTTTCTCACTCATGTGGATAGTAGGATTTCAGCTTATGGTCAATGGACCCTCCAAATCATTTGCTGTATATGATTATGAGTAGGTCCATAAATAAACTGTGTTGTCACTGTATCCATATTTTTATTTTGTCTTGTCACCTGTACTTTGCTCTTGGCAATAATTATAATAATTAGTGAAAAAAAACAAACAGTTATTATAAAAAATAATAATGATTAGATTTAAAGATTAAATGTAAACTGTTCTGTTATGTAAAAAAAAAACTCTTCTTTTTTTCTTTTGTTATTATTTTCTTTTAAGAGAAATATGGTAGACACTCACATTTCTGTTAATTTACCTGTTGCTATGGTTTCAGTTCAATTTTAATTATATATCACCAAATCACACTTTATTTTGTAAGGTAAAACACTCTAATGACACAGAGAAAACTCAAAGATCAAACAACCCCCGATGACTTGGTGACAGTGGGAAAGAAAAACTCACTTTTTACAGGAAAGAAACCTTCGGCAGAACCAGGCTCAGAAACAGCAGCCATCTGCTACAGGAGGTTGGGGATGAGGTTTCATTGATTGTGGCTTTATTTCATGCACTTTACTCAGAGCTGATTGGCCTACCTCTGACCAGAAAGCTCAATTAATCAATCCAGAGTTCATGATTTGATTCAGTTTGAATGAAAGTGGTTTTAAAAATCCAACATAAACCTTGGAAAGAAGCAAATTAGTTTTTCACATAGAACAAAATTCACTTGTGAATGAGGGTGCAGCGATGACTGGTGCCATGTTGGAAGTCGGCCACATTTTTAAAGACCTTGTTTACTTCTGAATGGTTACCCAACCAGCTCAATAAGAGCAAAAAAACATTTTCTGAAGCATTAACTAACAAAAGTGAGAGAATGTTTCTCAGCCAAATTTTGTTCATCTCGCACTCAAACCTGCACATTTAGCACTTTTCTCACATGAAAATCGGTGAGGTGTAAGTGAGATCACGATAGCTTTATTCATATGCTGCAACTCAGAAGCAAAAGGAAGCCATTTTTAGTATCCACACCTCTGAGCACATGTTTTACAAAGAATATTGTAGACAGAGAATAAATGGGGATTGAAACTGGGAGGAGGGCATTCAGTCGTCATAGTCTATACTCTGCACAATTTTTAAGGGATTATTTCTTGAGTGAAATGTAGTTCCAGCAAGTAGTTCCAGTCCTGTACATTGTCTTCAGGATTAAGATTTAGTTTCTACCACCATGCTAAGCCAGAAAAATAGATCCCGGCTGTGTTTCAGATTCTTTAATGAATAAATTAATTATTTTTTTCAAATATAGCTTTCACACAAGAACTGGAATACATTGCAGCTGGGTTCAGTCCACTGTTCCACAGAGCCACATCTTCAAGCATATTTTATATGTTTTTAAGGATCTATAAAGTTGGGGGTAAAAAGGTGATAGGTTTGTAGCTTGAACCTATTCGCTGGAACGTTGAAGACAATATAATTACACCGCAAGCAAGACACGAAGTAGGCAAAGTTCTTCATGTTTCTCGTGCACGGGAGAGAACCGGACAAACGCCGTTCCTTCGCTTGACCCCAGTTGCTCTCGTCCGCTCCCCCGTAACACTGCTCTTTTATTGAGGTTACATGAATATGCATAGGTTCATTAACATACGCCGTCTACATACAAACAAAGAGTACCTTGCCTGAGTGTGTGTGTGTGTGTGTGTGTGTGTGGGGGGGGGGGGTCAGAGTGTGACCCCATAAATGACTTCCCTAAACCTGCTGGTCTGGAAGTCCAACAGTTCATCTAAACAAAAGGCACTTAGCCTAAAACAGATATAGCCACGTTTATCCTACGATAAAACAATAAAACAAGGTACGACCTCTTCCCATGTTCCCAGGATGTAGGTGCGAAATGCACACCAAGCCTTTGCAGCCTGCTAAGGATCACACATCCTATCACTACACAATTGATTATACACCTCTAAGCATATATGGTTAAATATTTCTAAGCATAAATGACAATCAACAATACAAAACCTAACAAAAGGTCTACAATAGGGTGTGCAACTGTTAATGTAACTCGAGTCATGCACTCATACTGGGTGTCCTTGTTTTGTCCTTCCATCGAGTGTTTTAGAATCAGAGACTTTAGTCTGTATGAGGTCTTTTATTTTGAAAATTGACTGAATTTTCCATTCGGTTCCTGATGTCTCTGACTTCCTGTCTCCTCATCTGCCCTGTGCAGCTTTAAACAGCTTCCAGTTAAATAAATGAATGAATGAATGAGTAGATTATCCACTATTTTAAGAGATACGGAGCAGACGGTCACTTCTGGGGCACGTCTGGAACTGAAAGCATTGTCTCAAGTTGGTGAGGTCAGTGCTGGAATGTGGTGCAGCTCTTCTCAGTGTGTTTCTGGGAAAAAACTAATGATAAAGTAGTAGCTTGTTTGCATTTACACCATGCAGAAAGTGGCTTTAACACTGACACAACTGGTTTCTCACAGGGAGAATAAATATCAGTTTTATGTATTTATTGGTAATATAGTAAATCTATCTGCTTCTTTCACCTGCTTTGTTTGAATTGGGGTGATGGCACTTCTGTTTTCTTTACACTTAGCCTTCTACATTATCCGACGCTGATATTTTTGCTTAACTCCTTTTAAAACTTTTAGAAAGGTATCAGGAGGTCAGGTGTGTTTCCTCCTGCTTACAGTTGGGAAAAGGACAACCGAATGCAGCATCTCTCATTTTTTCATCTGAGATATTTTTACCTGCTTCTCACAGGCGAGATTCACAAACTGTTTTCCCACTTGAAGAGGTACAAGAAGGCAAAACAAGGCGAACGCCAGCAGAGAAGGGATGAAAGGGTGGGTGAGACGAGGGGAAGAATGGTAACCGTCCCAATTAGCGGGCTGGAGAAAAGAGTAGTGCTTTTACACGGCAGCTTCTATCAAATCAACCGCCCCCGGCTCAGCGGGAAAAAGCTGCTCAAAATGGATTTGCTCCTTTTATCAAGCCCTCCATGACACTTAGTTAAGACTCCTTTGCCTCTATCCTGCCACTGATATGTGCCACTTTGAGCTGGTGTCTCACCGACATTATTAAGAGTGAAAGTTTCAGGAACTTGGGAGAAAGCTGGAACATTGTGTTGGAGTGGATTACGTCATGACAGTGTTGGCTTTTTCCAAAAGTTAGAGGAAAGAAGAGATCGTTCTTTTCAAGTTATGTTCTTCTTCATCTTTTGTTTTCTTTTCTCTCTCTCTCTGCCCCCTTATTTTTTTCTGCAACAGGCTGGGTTTAAAGCATTCATTCCTCACCAGCGTCCCTCTGGGAGTATTAGCATTGGCTGCTCAGTTATTGTGAATCCAAATTGGACAAAGGAATCAGGTTTGAGAATGCAGCTGACAACACTATTCAGGCTTCTTTGTAAGTGCCACAGAAATGTTCAGCACAGCCTCACTCTTTGCCTTCCAGGCAACTGAATCATTTAGAAAGGTGAGAGGCATAAAATGTGTGGCAGATTAAGAAGTATTCAGTTCAGTCCTTTTAATGGTGTGTATCTGATGTTTTATTTAGACTGTGCATTCAAAAGATTCCTCTCGCAGAGCTATTATACTCACGAGGGCAGCTGCATCAGATCTGTTTGTGAGGCTGAAAAAGAAGTCTGAAAATTTTTAAACAAAATCATAATAATGACAAATTTACAGATCGAAATAATACTGATAGAGTTAGAATTGAAGATTAAACATTAAGACTCACCTGGTATTGTTACAATTAATTTATTATCTGTTAATCTTTAATAAGATGTACAAAGATGCCACGTGTAAATCTAAGTACACCACGTGACTCAGTAGTTTGTTGTCCCACCTTTAACTGAAGTCGTTGTTTTCTCTCACAACACTGTGGAGAAAGTTTAACCCACTCTTCTTCAGTTCATTGTCGTTTGCTTTCCTTCCACAGCATTTTAATTGAGCTGAGGTCTGGACTGTGACTGGGCCATTGCAACACCTTGATTTCTTTCTTTTTCAGCCATTCTTAAAAAGAAACACATCAAGGTGATTTGCTGCTGTGCCTGGGATCCTGGGGTCCTCGTGCTGTCGAATGACCCAGTTTGGGCCAAGCTTTAGCTGTCAGACAGACGGCCTCACATTTGACTCTAGAATACTTTGTTTCATGGTCAACTCAGTGACTGCAAATTGCCCAGCTCCCATGGCTGCAAGACAAGCCCAAATCATCACGCCTCCACCTTGGTGCTGACAGTTGGTGTTTAATTTTCTCCAAATGTGATGCTGTACAGTGTGGCCAATCACCTCTCATCTGTCCGAAGGGCATTTCTCGAGAGGTCTTGTGGTTTCTTCAGATGAAACTTTGCAAACATAATCCATCGTGCAATGCCAAGATCTGTGTCTTTTTTAAGTCTGTAGGATTGATTTTGAATACATGCTGTAGTTGGTGTTCCACTACCATATGTACTAAATGGGCTACATACCCAACCTGTTGTAAAAATTTAAATACTTTAGGTCCTTGAAGTTACTTAAACTCTGTTAAAGTTTTACATTTCTCTCATTGTTTACAAATAAATAATAAGATCAAAACCTTCAAAATTGAAAATAATTGCCTGTGTTTCTGTAGCTTTGCACAGTGTTCTTTGTTTTCGGTGCCACAGAGCTCCATTTATTTATTTACTCTGCTGTAATGCTCACATTCGCCAAATCAGAGGCTGAAAATAGTCTTTAAGAAATGCACGATTTTCCTCCAGTTTGAAAACCATTCAACCCCCGTCTGTTACATTTTTGCTTAAAAAAGAAAAAAAGAATAGATATGTGTTTACCCTGTTTTATGGATGTAGTGCTTTTAATTGGATTGACAAGCTGGGTATGTTGGAAGGCATTAAGACCGTTTTGGTCTTTTGATGCTATGATGTTTGTTGATGATGATGAGAATACAGAATATCACCACCTGCTGCTACAGTGAAGCACTGATGAAGCTGTAAATGTGTGCAACCAAATTACTTTCTTTAATGGTTCCTATTAAACGATGTGTTATGATGTGTCTGTATTTTGTTATTTTATCTATTTATATCCTCCCAACCAGTCAACTGCATCCAGAGGATGAGACGGACGCCGCCACTGGATGAGCTTCAGCCACCGCCCTATCAGGATGAGAATGGCTCTCCGAGGATGTCCTGCACGCTGTCAGATCTGGGTGATGCCAAGTGTGATCTGTCCCACACCAGCGGTAGCCCCCACCTCTCTTTTGGCAAGTGTCCCAGTGAGGGCAGCGACGGCCCCGAGACTGAGAGTTACCTCAACAAGGGCTATGAGGAGGACGTGCCCAGTGACAGTACAGCTGTCCTCAGCCCAGAGGTAAATACCAGTCATGCAATATCAGAGTGATACTTTAGATTGAGGTGTTATTTTGAACACTGAACATTTCATTGGTTTCCGTAGGATATGTCAGCCCGTGGATCAGCAGCCCAGCTACCGAAAGGTTATGAACCAGATCCTGTTGCAAAATACGGGACCCTCGACATCGTGTTTGACTACAACTCAGAGGAGCAGCAGCTGTCTGTAACCATCATGGCAGTAACCGACCTTCCCAGCTACAAGCGCACCGGTAACATCTCCTGGCAGGTTCATCTGGTGCTTCTGCCCACCAAGAAACAGAGGGCGAAGACGGGGATCCAGAGAGGCCCGTGCCCCATCTTCACGGAGACCTTCCGCTTCAGCCATGTGGAGTCAGAGATGATCAGCAATTATGCTATCAGATTTCGCCTTTACAGCATGCGACGAATGAAGAAGGAGAAGGTGCTCGGGGAAAAGGTGTTCTACCTCACCAAGCTCAACCTTCAGGGCAAAATGTCGGTGCCGGTCACATTAGACCCATGCTGTGCACTCCCGGTAAGATGATCAAAGCAGGTGTTGGCTTTCAAGCTGCCACTCATCACCTCACTAATTACTTCTCTTTGTTGATTGATCTTTCATCCAACTGGATAACATTTTCAGAGTGAGATCACATTTTGCAGATCATTCTTACTGAACTGCCTGTTTTGTTTGCTTGTTGGCTTTTAATGCTTCTCAGGAGTAGATGGTAGTGTGACACTGCCTCCATTTCATCTTAGGGAATAAACAATAATCAGTTTACTTATTTTTTTCCTTTCGCTCACTTTATTTCAAAGGCTACAAAGAAGAAAGGCAGCCTTAAAAGGCACCTATTTATCCTGCATTGAATCTGTCAGATATTAGTTTTCTTTCCCTTTAGTAACAATATTTTTTATTTATGTAGATATCCAGGTGCTGAATTAACCCAATACAGCAACATTCAGTGCTTAATTCACTGAACATAAGATAACTAAAAATGTAAAGAGTATTTTTAGCCTATCCGAAAACACAAGTCCTTAAGTATAAAGAAAAGATGTGCACTACATAACCTTCAAATGTTAGCTTGCCCAGCCTAATACAGGCTCCTTTTTTAGCGGGTTAGCTATCTGTTTGGAGATATCATATTAAAATCTTCCCTGAATCTGATTTATTTTCCTCACGGTTCTTCTCCATGGCCAGCTTCTGGCCTAGTCCAGCATCCTCACTCTCTGATGACTTTAAGAGCTCAGTCAACAGTTTGAGGTAATAATGAATCAAATGCAAAGTTTATTTTGTAAATGTTACTATTATTAGTGTTCAAAAGTAGGATTATCCTGGTTAAGCCGTTATCCACTGAGTGTGATTTCAGTAACAGATCATTAATCCCACTCTGGCTACCACCATATTTTATATCCAAGTTATAGTGGCTAGCATTATTTAGCGTGTACTATACGACACTATTTTGCCTAAACCAACACTCTGTGATAGTAAATACATCATGTATGTAGTGTATTAAAAGAAGTCAAAGCCAGAACCTCATAGATTTGAAACCGGAAAACTGGATACATTGTAACTGCATGACGGTGATTTGCAAAATCAAATAGGCATTAAGGTATTCGGCAGCTTTGCCTTTATTCAGGAATATAACCAGAATACAACTGTGTTGGATTACAGATGAGTTGCGCTCATTGGCACAGACAGACTGAGATTGATTGAAACATGCTAGCAATCTGTCTGTGTTTATAAAGTAGATGGCAGTTATTTGCGTACCTCACCCGTCTGTCTGAGAGTGATTACTTGACGTGATCGATGAATGCGAAAAATTCAGTACAATGACCAAGTAAGGAGTTTGACGTCCTGCTGGGACAGAGCAGTAAAGGGAGGGTGTAGTGAACTGCTGTTTGAATTGTAATTCATTTGTGTTTTGGAAAATCCTTAACAATTAAAAACTGATATTAAGAATGTTCTGAATGTTTGCCAACTCTTTCAGGGTGGCGAATCCCAGGTCAGCCTCTCAGATATGACATGCAGTGAAAGCGCCTCGTCATTCCAGTCAGTCAGTCAGGCTTCCACACCGGAGATCCTCGTGGGCCTGGTTTACAACGCCACAACAGGACGTCTCTCTGTGGAAGTCATCAAAGGCATCCACTTCAAAAACCTGGCTGCTAACAAACCACCCAGTAAGTACCCTAAAACGTTTTGTTGTCCAGTTTGAGAAAGAGCAGGAAAACACTTTTAATGTTTCAAATGCTAGAGCGGAAGAGGACAAGTTGAGCCTGTGCATAGGAGTTTGTATCTCCTGTAAACATCTGTAGTCATAGTCTATATATTTTACATACTATGCGCTTCCTTACGTTCAGTCAGAGAGGGACTATGCACAGCGTATAACTTCTCCGAATCAGAGATAGTGTACTCTATCTCGGCCACCACCTGCTTTTCAGTTTTCCTCTGGTTTCCCTCATTTCCCGGTCAGCCTCCTCAGTCAGCTTCCAGGGATCTGAGCAGCAAGTTCAAACAAAAACTGCCTCTTGTTGAACTTTGTGCAAATGTTGTTGTTGTTGGCCTTCTGACCCTGTTTCTCTTTCCTTGCATCTTCTGTTATGTCTGCACCTGAAACTCTCTCACCCTACTACCTTTTTGACATCTTGGTCCGCTGTTTTTCTTACTGCTGTCCAACCCTTGTTGTCAGATGGACTGTTCTGTTGTCTAAAACACTTGATAGGTGGACAGGTTTATATTATCAGAGGTGAGTTTCTGTTCTTCCCTGTAAAGTGTCATCAGTGTTAATTTCACATCCTTTTTTTTTTTTTAAATACATCTTCATGGATGCAAATAGATGTAAGTAAATGGAATGACTGTTGATTGGAGACACACTAATTTAACTGGCTTCTATCATTAATATATATCTAATTTGATGCTGTAGTATGTTGGATTGACTCAATGTCGCCTCATCCCCCAGTCGGTTGCATCAGATGGCTGCCGCTTCCTGAGCTTGGTTTTCCTCATGTCTTCCTCATAAAAGGGAGTTCTTCGCTCCCACCGTTGCCAAGTGCTTACTCTTACTGGATCACATGATAATTGTGATTAACTTTGTCTCTCTGTAATTTATAGGTTTTACATTATGAAACAATTGTTGCTATAAAAATGTAAATTACATATAACAGCAACTGTTTATGCAATATTGGGAGCCCAAGCTCTTTGCACCCATCCCAAATAAGTTGAAAAAATGTAACTAAATTCTCACTTGGAAGCAGTTTTGATAAGATAAGCTTTTCCCATAAAACCTGAAATATGACTTTCTTTAAATTCATGTAAACTTTGGACCATAGGACTCTTATTGCATTTTAACTCTCATCCATGAAGATGCTCGGCTGTTGTACTGTAAGTCTTCTTGCTGTATTTCTGAATGCGTATCACATCACGCATGCATCTGAGATACCCCCTCCTGCCTCCTTTGCCCGTTTCTTGTGTTGCCTGGAAGTCCTTCGTGTTTTCACTCAGCCTTTTTCATGCTATGTCAGTCTAGTTTTCTTGGTGTCTGATAGCCAGCAAGAAGGAGATGTTGTCATTGAGTGCTGGCCTAATTCGAACAGTACGCTTTGCACATTTTACATTTTTCGGCTTTGCTTCCAGCATATGAAACATAAACAGGACTTCTGTAATACAGTTGCATAAATATTCATCTAAAAGCCACACTGTACTGTCCTCCCATTAATTGCCATGTTCCATGTATTCGTGAATGTCTCTAACTAATAACTAGCTGTCAGATTTTGATATTGTTTGTACATTCTTGAATAGCATATCCACATACTTTATAGTCTTCAAATTGTACTTGGAAAATAGTCGCATCTGGCAACACTGAAAAAAACCTTTGTGCAAAATCCTCACGAAGGCCTTGATTGACTTTGTGCGTCCTTACAAAGTGGAAAGAGCACGGTGAAAGATGCGGAGCAATTTCAAAGCTTCTTTTCTGCCATTTCAAAACAGTACCGAGCCGACGAGTCAAGTTAATCATCAGCCGCAGCCCCTCTCATTCAGCAACAATGCCAAAGAGCCATGCATCACCGCTACTGACCACTTAAGACATCCACAGCTCTACAGAGCCCATTCAGCAGCAGTCAAAAAAGAAATCAAGGCTATTTTTTTCACTCTGCTTTTATGTCAAAGAGAGCAACTGAATGTGTGATTGAAGGCGGTGAGCTAGGCGTTGGAAGGCAGCTGGCACTCGACAGCATGAAACCCTCAGCAATTCATTCCTTATACCCCTCTTAGACTGGAACATAATACACAGCATTATTACAGAGTATGGCTGTAGACGAGGGGCAAAACACTCTCAAAGATCCATTGTGATTGCCAGTCTTGCCTCGCTTACTTTCCGCTGGATTTATGGCTTCAGTTTGTGCCATGATTTCTGCATTGAAATGAGGAGTGAATAAGGAAAGCGTGAATGCTGAAATCACTTGATAATGGCAGTGTTTTTCCTTTTTGCTTTTTCCTCTTCTGGGCTAAATGAATGAGCTTTATCAGGATTTTGTTTTTTGGAATGTGATCAGCGGGGTAATAAAAGGTGGAAAATGTCGCAAACTGCGAGTATCAGCGGTACAAGTCGTGCTTCTAAGCTCAGAATTCTTAGATACTTTAATCCCGACTCGATATATTATGTTCTGTCTTTGATTGCTAGGGTCTTGAGCTAAATATGTTTTTTCATATCTCATCTGAAAGCTTCATATAATAACATATTAGAATTATGCACCAGCAGTCGTACTAGTAGCAAGTGCTTTTTCTGTTCTGTTTCACATTAAAAGCCCCTATATGCATGAAAACCTGGCAACATGCTTGCATTAGTTGCATAACGCAACTATTAAAATAAATACTAACAAATGAAATTATCATTTTTATTCATCAGATTATTAAAAATTAGATTATTTAAAGAGTTTCTAGTGCAGCGGCAGAGGGCAGTAGGGTTTTTTGCAGATCATTTGGTTGTGCAAGCTTCCTTGAGCAATGAGAACTGGCGCCTGCAAATTTAAGGCCACAGTTCTCAGCCAGACAAGGGTGGACTGCCCACTCCAGGTTGGAAATGAATTGCTGCCCCACTTGGAGGAGTTCAAGTACGTCGGGGTCTTGATAACAAGTTGCGCCTCAAGTGGACGCGTTCAATTGCCTCTGGGTCTTGATAAGGAGCTGGGAAGGAGTGGAACAGGAGGCTAGCAGGATTGATGCATCAATGCAGACGATGTGCCACTCTGGTGAAGAGTGAGCCGAGTGTGAAGGTGAAGCGGCCAATTTACAAGCTAAATTTCAATGAAGCTGTGTAAAATAAAGTGCAATAATTTGCAAGTCTCATAAACTCTTATTTTATTCACAACAAAACTTAGAGAGAATTCACTATTTTAAGGAAAATATTGGCACAGTTTATACTTGATGGCAGCAACACGCACTAAAAAAGTTGGGACAAGATCAAGTTTACTACTGTGTTATTTTAACACCAGTCTGTAAACATGTGGGAACCCATGACACCAGTTGCTGGGCTTCTGGGAGAGGAAGGTTGTCCCATCCGCATCCGATCTGTTGTTATGGATGCAGAACTCTCTTTAAAAAGATGCGATCAGATTTGTAGGCAGCCAAGTCCGTAGGGACTAATACACCCCATAGCATCAAGCATGCAGGCTTTTGAACAGCGCTGATAACAATCTGGATGTTCCTTCTTCCCTGTAGTCAGAATGCTGCAGCGTCCAGAGCCTTAACCTGCATTTGTGGATGGCACAGTGAACTGTGTTCACAGACAGTGATTTGTGGAAGTGTTCCTAAGCCCATGCACTGATTTCCATTAAGCAATCATGCCTTTTTCAAGGGCATCCAATACTGATTTTTGGTCGTGTCCCTCGCACACAAAGGTTTCTCCAAATTCTTTCATTTGATATTTGGTACTATAGATTATAACATGTTGACAGTTTTGAATTTTGCGTATTCTGAAATTCTTCCACAGTTTGCAGACAGTCTGGTGAACCTCTGCCTGTATTTACCTCTGAGAAACTCTGCTTCTCTAAGATGCTCTTTTTATGCTACTGACTGTTGCGAATGAACTTATTTGCAAAATGATCTTCCAGCTGTTTCTTTGTAATATCACTTACTTTTCCAAATGTTTTCGAGACATGTTGCTGCCAAAACAATTCAAAATGAGTCAAAAAGTAAAATGTTTTAATTTAAATATATGACCTGTTTTTCTCTGTTTTATTGTGGATGAAATATGGGATTATGAGAAAAGCAAATTCTGAATGTATTTGCATTTTACACAGTGACACAACCTTTTTTGAGTTTGGAGTTGTACCAGTCCCTCCTACCTTCACAGCCAAACACTGTGAGCAGTGCCTGAAAGAATACGTTTGCAGAAAAAAGCGGTGAAATGAAGTTCCTCCCATGAGTGTTTGGGCTCGCCAGGGGAGTAGCTCAGCCATTCAGAAGGAGCTCAAAGTGGAACCACAACTCCTACAGACTGAGAGACCCAGCTGAGGTACTTCTGGCATTTGAATAGAATACCTCCCAGTGAAGTGTTTCACCATTCTGGGTCTGCCCTGGACACACTGGAGTTGGGAATTTATGGAAAAACAATACTAAACACATTTTAAAAAATGATTTTCTACAGATATATAATTAACAACAACGTCAGTTCAAGCTTTTCTGAACAAGTTTCTGGCACGATGAAAGAAAAACGCGTGTGCCCATACACAGAAAAGAGTCTGCTTGAGAGAAATAGACCTTAACGGGAAAACTGAAGAAGACCTCTTTGCATAGTGAAAGAAAAATAAATCCAGTGTGAATCTGGGTTACAGTAAGTGTCTATTGCCAAAGTCATAAGGGCAAATGCATGACACCCAAAAAATCTAAATAAAATCTATATTTTTCTTTATTTCCCTCTGAACATGATACAGGTATTGGTCATATTAACACTTTAATGCTGGCAAGAAATGTTTTTAAATGGAAGCAGTAATCACATTTTTAGACATGCATGAAACAAATGGAGTTTCCATGAACTGAGCAGTGGCGTTCAATTCATAAATCATGAAAAACACTCAGTGCAACAACTTAACCTTCTTATTTTTCCCGGTTCTTTTCTGTTACGCAGTTCCTCCATAGATTTTATTCAAGGCTTTTTCGAATGTCTTGTATTTCCCTTATATTTCTGACACCTCTCACCCAGATTCTCATTTAGTGTCAGCAGACCTGTATATCCTGCACAATATGTGAGTCACATTTTGGACAAAGCATGTCTTGGGACTGCCTCGGGCTCTAAAGTTTTAGCATAAGTCATTATGTCAAATAATAGCAGCTCTTCATGGTAATTTGTGATGAACCACGTAACCAGAATTAATTAATTTTGGCTACATGGTTCGTTTCAGAAGGAGCTCCTAATCCTTTCAAACACAAGCAAACGTATGACTAACTTTCTCCAGTCAGTTTTCATCTTCAGCATTATCCCCCATTTCAGATTAGACATCAGTAGTCGCATAGCAACAAGACTGAAGTAACGCTCCCTGCGCTCACAGCTGTGCTTTGTGTTTGATCAGGAGAAAAAACGCATCCTATGTGGTCATGCTCTTATATATCATCCGCTGTGACATTATTACAGAAGTGAATGCTTTGTGGAGAAAATGTGTCATTCTTTGCTGCAGAGGAAACAGCTGCAGCAGGTCGTCATGGCTGATTACTAAGAGGAAAGGTGAAGAAACATAAGGATTTTGCACAAAGGGTCTATTATTTAAGTCTGGTGCCTGAATTATTTTCTTTCCTTTTTTTTTACTACTACAAAGCTATTGTAGAATCTCACGGTTTAAAAAATATATATAAAGATGTATCATTTCCCTTGTAACTCTCTCCTCCACCTGCTTCCTCTCTAGATACATATGTTAAGCTGACCTTACTTAACTCCATGGGCCATGAGATGTCCAAGTGTAAGACCTCCATCTGTCGAGGTCAGCCCAACCCAACCTACAAAGAGACGTTTGTCTTCCAGGTAGCTCTTTTCCAGCTCTCGGACGTCACGCTCATCCTATCCGTCTACAACAAGCGCAGCATGAAGCGCAAGGAGATGATTGGTTGGATTTCGCTGGGCCTCAACAGCTCTGGAGAGGAGGAGCTCACCCACTGGACTCAGATGAAAGAGTCTAAAGGACAGCAGGTTTGCCGCTGGCACAGCTTGCTGGAATCTTAATGGCACAGCAAGATGGCGCGCGGGCATAGCTACACGGCGCCGCCGCCATCTTTGTCTCAGATGGGCAGGAAATGGAAATGTTCAACTGGGAAGCGGGAGTGCGATGCCGTCCAATGAACCAGCGTCAGTGGTGATGAAGAGACGGGAACACAACCACATCTGCACTCAGTTTCTCAGCTCGGCATGGCATAAGCGATTTCATGGCTCTGTTTGGCTAAACAGTCATGAATTAGTTTTATGATGAGACATGCTATTTTCCATATACTGCCGTGTAATGACCTTTAAGTTTTTGTAGATGGCATCTTTTTGTCTGCTGAGCCGGTTTAGCTGGGGCTAAAGATCATTGAGCAAATTACACCTGGTAGCCATATGTACCCACACCTCCAGCCGCATAAATACAAGTAGGAGTTTCTAAAGAAGGTTTTAATTTTTGTAATTATATTTTTTTAACAAATATTTTCCAGACCACCTCTTAGCAGATCCTTATCTTAAAATTTAGCTAGAGACAACTTCTTACCTGGAAATGTCAAACGAGGCTGGACATTACCATTGTGTCATCCCCATCGACTTCAAAAGCACAAGAAGTTTGGCAGATTTTAAAATGGCAGTTCTACAATGGTGTAAAATAGGGACTGTAAAATAATTAAAAAGGAAAAAAGCTTCCCACCTGAAGGTTCCTGTACTTCTTTAAAATACTACAAGCAATCTGAAGTGCTTCAGTCAAAGGCAGCTGGACTCCTTTTAGGTTTTTGAAAACATCGTCACCTCTCACCTGAAAGGGTTATTTGCACCTAAAGAAGAAGAGACTGTGAAATACAAATGTTCAGATTTTGGATTCACGCCTCCACTCACGTAAGCATAACTCATGATCTTAGGTGGCGCACTAGACAGCATTCCGAATCAGTCTTTAGAACTGAAAACAATCTTCTGAATGAAAAGTAAAACCTCTTCAGGAACCTAAAGCGAGTGCAGCTGCCTTCAGTTCAAACACTTTAGATTACCATTAGACGACTGAGAACCCATTCAGTCATAAATAGTAAAAAGGGACTCATGGGGGAGGTCAAACTAGTCACCATGGAACTTCCATAAAATCCTAGTTCATACATTGGGAATGAGGTTCATGTACCTCAAAGTGCAAGCCTTGGCTTGTTTAGGATATAACAAAGAGTGACAATCCAAACAGCAACAGCAAAACATTTAACTCAGTCAGAATGCATTAATGGTAAATCAAAAAAGATAAAGCAATTAGAAGAGATAAGGAGCCATGGATAAGGACCTGTAAACAAAGAAGCAAAAGGCCGGTCTAACAGCAAACAGGAACTTCCAAAGCTAAAAGAAGAAAAGAGACACCAGTGTGTAAGCGCAAAAACCATTTGAGGTTGGTTCCAAACGTGAGTCAGTCCCCATAGACTCCCACTTTAAAATCCCCAATGAAAAGCATTAAAATCATTAAAATGTTTATAGTCTGTTTATGGTCCATCAGCTAAGCCCATTCTCTACTAATTGGAGTCACTGAACTGGATCTCTCCACTGTGTTTATGCTGTTTGTAGCACCTCTAATAGAATTGTCTAACACATAAAAGAGCTTGCTGTGTGGTACAAACCATCCAAGAAATCTCTCACTCCACCCTTTTGTCTACATATCATTAATTCTGGGTCCAAAAATCTAGTATAGCAAAAATACTGAGTCCAAACCAATGAACGCCTTTATGGTGTCCATCTTTTACATAGTCCATAGAACTTCTCCAGATGTCTGATGTGTGAGTCGGAGGTGTGGATACACAGAGCTACCATTACTGGTCATGCTAACTGCACTGACTCTTTCTCTTTGGACCAAAAAATGACATTTAACCTCCTACAGTTCACCTTCCCTCTGTCTTCAGGCTTTAGAAGATCTGGACTGTGACCGGAGACTTTGCACTGGCAGGTCTTTTTATCAGACGTGACCAGCTGATTGGTAACGATCATGTCTTAAATCAGAAATTATATTTTAGTGGATGTTTAGAACAGAGAAGGGAGCACTAGAGGAAGAGGACTTTTCATTTTCTTATTTTGTTTGTTCACCTTTTTTCTGACTGCAGCTTTAATCACTATCACATCATTTTAGAAACATGCATGCCACATGCTCCGTCCAGGGTACCTATAAATGGGACAATTATAAAGTGAATATAGGGACTTTTTCAATTTTAAATGTCCTTTACCAAAGTTTATTTCATCACGCTGCATTGTAACCTGTGCAGTTTCATTCAGGGTGGTGGGAGGTTATAAGGCAGTCATAAGAAAAACAAAGTCAATTCTAAGGTTTTTATGTATCAGGAAAAAATGTTAAAAATAATCTAGGACTTAGCTGGTCTTAAAAGTACATCGTCAGATGAACAGTTTTTAGTACGCCCCTCTGTTACCGACCACATTTATTTTGTCCTGATGAGTAAAACCTTAGAATTGATACTTTCGTTTTCATGGCTGTAGATTGAGTGAGAATTATTACACTTTAATGAATTCCTCTCTGCCGACACTACTGAGTTACAAGCATAGCTTCTCAAGCATCTCAAGCTTAAGTAGAATAAATAAATGTGAAGAATAATAGAAGGTGTCAGACACGCCCTGACATCACTGCCAGGGTTTGTGTCGAGATGACATTCAATAGTGATCATGGAGAAGAAATGAGTGTTTCAGATTGTCGAATATTTATAGAAAACACCAGTTGGAGGACACATTGACTGACTGGGATATGCTATATGTAGGTTAGTTAGATGGTTTTGTGAACATGACTTTTCATTCGAAGGTTACACGCAATGTCACGATTCTTTAAAGAAATTTCCGACACCTTTTTGAATATAAACGGCTCATTAAATCACAGCTAACAGGTGAGACTAAATCCTACTTGTTACCTTTTTCTAACCTGCTCTGGTGCTATAAGAGAGCTGTGGGTGTCCACACAGAAGCCCTTGCCTTATGGTTTTTAGTCAGTTCATCAACTTCTTAAAGAGTTCAAAACACAGACACACCCTGAGAGCACACAGACCTGCATCCACACTTACAGAAAGCACACGCAGTGCAGCACCACTCAGCCTCGCTGGAGGGAATTCAAACTTTTGAGGCGATTTCATTACGGCAGCGAGCACCGACAACCCTGCAGACTGTCTACGGGCTTTTTAGCTGCAGCCGCTTTATCTTTGCGTTTCATATACAGATAAAAAAAAATATATATATACTCTTTACTGTGCCTGTGGTTGTGGTGAAAGGTAGCTTTGTGCAGTGTTTACCAAGTGTGTGTGTGCGTGTGTGTGTGTTGACTGGAGAAGGTACAGTAAAGGGGGCGTGGGAGGGGGCTGTGATGTAGGTAGAGTTGTTGCATTTTCTTGTTGGGTGTAACCGTTTCTGATTTCAATTACTGGTTATTAGAAGAAAACAAGCCAAGTCCTGATTGTCTGACATATGCTTTATATTAGTAACTGTTTTATCTATTTTTGTATCAGCAGCCGGGAGAAGAAAATGTGTCAAGCCAGTTATTAGTGAATCAAATATTAACCGACTCCGTGAGCAATACTGTTTGAATTGCTACTCTTTATGATTCAGTTTGTTTACGTGGGGGAAGCAACACACGTCTTATAGCTCAGGTCTTATTTACGTTCCCTTTTCTAAAACCAGAGAGGGGTGTGATGGAGACCGGCTGAGTTCATCTCAAAGCAATCTGTCAAGACTTCTCAGCTTTGATGCTTTCTAACAGCTTGAAACAGAAGCACAGCCTTTACAGCACAACAGTGAAACACACAATGCGAAAGACCAAAGCTCATTTGGAAGTGTAGAGATGCACCTGTAATCTGAATCCAAAAGGTTTTTATTTTATGGGATCAGCCTGGAGCCTTTGAGTGAATTTGTATAGTGTGATATTTGATTACCTGTGGGGGGGAGAAAATGGGGGGGTGGAATTCAACAGAAGACGTGCAGGGATATATTAAAGTGGGATCACAGGCCCCATAGTTAATAATATTACAATATTATTATCAGTAAAGTAACAGATGAAAAATATTAACACTGCTGGGAAAAAAATCCTCTTCTCTGAAAATATAATTATGCTGGAGAGAATTAGTACCTGAAAACCAACTGGAAATGTTATCCGTAACACTTGATCCATGATTCATGTTCCCTCCAAATATGGAAGCAAAAGAAGGCCAAAACATTTGACTTCTAGATACTGTTACGTTTATAGATTTGAAAAAATGAAAATGCTTTCACGTTGTAATACTTCAGAAATGTTGTTAAAGTGTTTTTAGAGTTTGCAAAAACCAGAAAGCAATACTATCACAAAAGGAACAACATCATACAATCTGGACTGCCTTTAGCTCTGATGACAGCATTCGACGTGGGATCATTTTGATAAATTTATCCAGCATTTTTTTCCATCTAGAACTGCATTCATTTCTCACTATTATCTTGTTTGACAATGGGAGAGGCAGAAATCCCAAATATTCTCAGTGGCCTTAAGATCTGGACTCTGGCCATGGGCGTCTTTGAATATGCCCGTGACATCAGGGGAGAAAAACATCCATTGATAGAAAAACCTGGTCATTCACTATGTTAAAGCTGTGAGTATATCAGCATATATATGTACCAGTATATTCAGGAAGTCAGCTAACCTCATTTTTTTTAAACGTACAATTTGCTGAACCTAAGGCTTGCCCAGCAGGTACGAGGCATGATGGGCGCATGACTTCATCACCCCTCGTTAGTTAGCCATAAGTCTAGAGCAAGGTAAATCTGGACCACATGACCTTTTACCATTGCCCCAGAGTCCAGTCCTTATGATCCCAGCAACGTGCAGCCCATTTTTCTGATTAGCCACACAGATAAGTGGTTTTCTTAAGTCTTAATTTCATATCTATGATGACTGTGGTCGAATCTGATTTCACCAAGTTTTTAAGTGATTGTGATCATGATCAGTCAAGTTTTTTTTTCTTTCCAGATTTCAATAATGTGTTGTACATTTCTTAACCCGGCTTTAGTACTTTCAGCTTCTCCAAAGTTGTTTTCCTTGCTTGTTGGAGGGCAATAATTTGACTCCTCTGCAATAGAGCAGTGCATTTTGGGGGGGTTTTTAGGAAAGAGAATCTACTAATTTCATCAACTGAAACAAACATTTTTGTCCTCAAGCAGCTGCTCAAGGACCCGATGGCCAACTACTTCATCTGCTGCCAGCATGTGAGACCATGAAGTGCTTTAGAAACAAGTGAAAATACTTGAAAGTCATTTTAAAATGCAGAATTTAAAGTTTTAGGTTAGTTCAGGGTCATTTGAAGAAGTTAAGATGTACAACAGCAAACTTTTGACATATGAATTTTCTGTTTAATGTGGTCTGTTTACAAAAACAGAAGTAAAATTTCCAATCGGGAAATTAAAAACAGATCTCTGTACATTTAAATTCAGTGCAGTGTACACATTTAAACTCTGCTGGTCTTCTTTTGCTTCCGTACCAAACGACAGAAACCTGTTTAACATCCCTTTGACGAGCTCTGAATGTGTTAATCTTTCACAGGCTGTGTTCCACTAATTACGTGTTCAGACTTGTACGTTTGCTGCATCGTTTCTTACGCTTTCGTTTAATTTACAAGATTTTAAGAATTTTCTGGTTTTTAAGGCTGGTTTTAATTTGTGATTTTATTTTATTTTTTAGAAACTACCTATGCCACAGAGGCATCGGTGCCTTACTGTTTTTCACTCAGCAACCTTGTGTTACAGTGTCTTAACGTACCTGTAAATGTATTTTTCTCCTGTACTTTGGACTGACTTTGATTTGTAAACTGTCTTATTAATTGACTTCTGATAGAGAATTTCTATGTGATAATATTGTTTAAAAAAGAAAAAAAAAACAAAGAAACATCATCATGTAAGAGGTTTTTTTTTATTGAATTGTGTGTTGCATTTGAATCAATGTCCTAAAATTTGCCTTAAATTGCATTTCCACAAAATAACCAACAGGTGGAGCAACCATTGCATCCTGTTTCTTTTTTTTTTCTTTTTTTGTCAATGTTTGAACTTCACTTACTTTATAAACTTTTAACTCTCCTCCGTTAAATGTAAACCACCGAAATTTGCATGAATTCAAAATAAGCGTGGCGGTGTTGTTTCTCGAAATCAGACTGCCTGCAGCTCATGCGGAGAGGGGCTCACTTGTACAGTGGTATCTTTTGATGAACGTTTCTGCCCCACAGGCAAAGATATCATAGCTACACCCGAGTGTACATCTAAATACCTCTCTGTTGCAGAAATCCTAAAAATGGCACAGAAATGGAACGTTAAAAAAACCAAACACATCTTTAGGTGGATATCTGTTACTCTACACCTAAATATGTTTGCACTTGTTGTACAAGAGTGTAATTAATTCCAGCTTCATTTTTATTGCACAGACAGACAACTTTAAAGCTGTCAGCCCTCCCCCCCCTCTTGTCGGGGACTTTGCTGTGGTGAAGTGACACCTCTGCTTTGTGTGATCCTGACACCCAGCAGTAGTTTGAGCTAAATATGAAAAGAAGGTAAAGAGAGAGAAAACAAGATCAGAGATACAAGGTTTTCACAATTAACTGTGTTCCCCGACACGTTCCACAGCTGAACGCAGAACAAAGCGCTCTCAGGGAGAAACACTGGAAAATAAGATTCAGTGGCTGCTGTGGAATCAAAGGGGAAATGCATAACAGATGAGAGGGGTTTGCTCCCTCCCCTCTCTTTGTCGGTCACATCCCTGCAGAGCAGATCTTCCAACACACAACCTGTCTGAAAAAAAAAAACTCTTAGAATCCTTCAGGTGCTGTCGGAAATTATATTATTACAGCCAGAGTGCACGTGGACGTTTGAGAAAGTAAATGAAGTCAATGGTGTAGCCAATAAAAACAATAAGCAACTGCCAGGATGGCTGAGCAATAAGTAGTCCTGCAAAACAAACAAAAGAGGCATTAATTTACTGACATTAGTTAAACTTAACTGAAGCTGAAGGAGATTTTAGTAAGTAGAAGAGAAAGTAGTTCTTCAGGCAGATATAAACGAAAGCATCCAAACTTACAAAAAGGCACGCACACTGCTGCAGCACTTGGCTTCATTAACTATAATCCAAACACTGAGGTGATTTCATTTCTCCAGCGAGCAACAACAGCCCTACAGAGTGTCTGCAGAATACCAACATTTGATGGCTCCAGTCAAAAGCCGAAGTACACGCTTTTTAGAGACCAGGGGATTATGTAAAGTGGTTAATAAAGAAAATATTAAGTAGATTAAGCAATACCCATCTGCAACTTGGATTCAAATTATTCTCAACTACTGATTAACAGGTTTAAATTTGAGCCTGAGGGATGCTGGATTATTGGGGCCAAGGTGGATGTTTATGCTACATACAATATACTTATAAAGAAAGTAATGATTGTTTAGAAACTAGTCTCTAACTTTCACAATAATTAGCTAATATCTTCTTCTACCTTATCCTCTGAAAAACAAAAGCCATGCAAAAAAAATACATATATATATTTTTTAAATTCACAATATTTTTCAATGACGTATTTGTTTATTGAAGGAACTAAGAAAAGGAACTTGGGACACCGGCATCCTTGGACAGTATTTGTACTTTATTACAACATGTTACAGAATTTTACCCATGTGTCTGTCTTACACTGGTCAGATTATCCAATGAGCATTCTGGGCACAGAAAGCAGCACGTGAAATCTATTTTTATTACCAAAAGTATTTGCATATTTATATTTTCGTGTCATCCCATATACTGATGGAGTAAAAGGACTGAGACGAGGAATAAACAGCAACAGTAGCTACACATAATCCTGATGAAAAACAATAAAAAAAAGCACAAGCTATTTCATTTTCCACTTAATAACAGATACTTTACAGTTTTGGTTCTGCCTTTACAACGGTCTTAATTCTTCATAGCATGGATTCAACAAAGTTCTGGAAACGTTCCTCTCAGACTTTGGTCCATGTTCCCACGATAGCATCACAAAGCTGCAGCTGTGCTTCTGCTGTGTTCTGTGCTGGCAGGTGACACCTAGTGTGCTCTTCTGCAGCTCTAGTGCAGCCGCTTCAATGTTTTAGGATGTGTTATGTGTTCAGAGATGCTCTTCTGCATAACTTTGTTGTAACTTGTGGTTATCTGAGTTGCTGTTGCCTTCCTAGCAGCTCAAAGCAATCTGGCCATTTTCCTGTAACCTTTGGTATCTTCCAGAGAACTGCTGCTCACTGGATGTTTTCTCTTTCTCTGACCGTTTTCTGAAAACCTTAGAGATGACCGTGTTGGGAAATTACAGTAGATCAGCAGTTTCTGAAACACTCAGACCAGCCCATCTGGCACAAACAACCACGCCACGTTCAAACTCACTTAAATTACCTTTCTTCCTCATTCTGATGGTGGCTTTGAACTTCGGCAGGTCGTCTCGACCACGTGGACATGACATTGGAATTGGCTGACTTTTAATTTGTACCCAGGGATCCCCCACATAACAACCTATCACGTATTAATAAAAACGCTCTTCTGCGGGTGCTTTTTGCAAAAATAATATAAAATTAATCGACATACAATAACGCGGGCGCGATAAGTCACTCAGAACGGGAGAGTGGGGGAAGTTCCGAGCAGGCCGTGAACTCCTCAGCAGTACTGGTCGGGATGGAGCTGCGGCGCTGCTGCTGTTGTTTTCTCTCCGCCGCACGTTCATATTAACTGTCAACCGACGGGAGCAGCTCGGGACCCTCTGCGCGGAGAAGCACCGTGAATGGACTACCACAGACAGCGCTGGGGCTCGCCTTTATCCCTCCGCCGAAGAGAAGACAAGAAAACATCAAATAAAACAGCTGCAGCATCTGTCAACCTTTGCAGTCTAGAAAAACGCGCGGGTGCAGTAAGAAAAACGGCGCGCGCTCACTGATTAGTATGTAGACAAGTCGCTAATTAACTGGTAATTACACAAGTAGTATTTAAACTCGCCTGTGCGCCTCGCGTGTCTGCCAGGAGTCTAAAATTAGACCGAGGCAGAGCCGCCGGAGGACGCGGTAGTATTTATTTAGTAGTTGGTTGTTGTTGTTTTTTCGTTTTTCATTAACGCACCTTGGATTCCTGCCGTTACCACAAAGCAAGTGTGGAGCCGAGGACGAGGTCCAAACAATTCAAGTCAGGTAAGATCATATCTGCTCGCTCTAATGTGTGAACGTGCTCAGGATCCCGGCGCTGGAAAGTAAAAGTAGGCTATTAAAATGAAGTAGTAAATGGTCTCGGTTCGTTTTTGAATCACTGCGCGGTCCTTGTTTTCAGTCTGCTTGTTAAACAGTAGCTTATGATTTTGTTTTAATGTGCTACATGTTAAGTTGTGAATGGAAAATGTTTATTGAAACTGTTTTTGTGCGTCCTCCTGATTTTACCGACCTGAGTAAACTGTTGGATAAACCTGATTTAGATCTTGCTACCTGCGGGACTAATGAGAATCGGGGCGCTCAATAGCTCACTGGTTTGACGTGACAGACACCGAGGTCCTACACATTACGCAGGCTGACATAACCAGCCACCCTCCTGGCACCCATCCAGCCTCACTTCATTATTTTTGTGGCGACTGCTCTTGGCTGCAAATCCTGAAGTGGCGGTTGCCTGTATTACTGCTGCCTTCTGAAAGGACAGGCTTTTAGGCGATTTAGCTCAATCCTGATCTTCTGTTGTCTCCTTGATGTCATTTCTGTGCTTTCTCGGGCTTAGAGTCACAAGCATCCACTGCTCCCAGGGTGGACTATTAACACCCTGTTAGCCCCAGATGGGATTAAAAAATTCCAGCCTGGCATGCGTAATGGAGTGAAGGCAATAAATAAACATCATCTCCCTCCGCCTTTCTGTATCTGCTGTTTTGGTGAAATAAAGGCTTCGAGTGCAGCCGGCTGGTAATAGTGTTGGATGCGCTTCACCTCCTCTCGCTGCCAACAACATCCGGAGTCACTTGCCAGGAATTCCACCTTTGCTATTTGTTTCCCTTGGAGGCGGGTGAAAAGTGCTATGTGGAATATAGTGAAGCACGCAACAGGGAGAAACATCCAGGTCAGACAGTACAGACGAGAGGCGCTGTAACAAGAGGAAGCGTCGGGGCTTCTGCAGCACGGTGGACGGCTTCTTGGCATCCAGCTCGGGCAAGTCCGATGCCAGATCCCTTCTCTTTGCTGCCTGCCAGAGCCCCTCCACCCCACCGTCTTTATCAAAAGCCTCACTGTGATTTCCCCCTTTCAGTTCTGTTGCTGAGCTATCAATCATATCTCGCTCTCAGCAGACTCTTCTGCTCATTAAGGATGTGAACCTGTAGGTAGCCTGCAGCCCCCCCAGCTATTCATCTCCCTCAGTGGGGCGCAGAGACTCACATCTGGAGCAGCATTGCAAAACATGGCTCTTAGCAGACATGTAGTGTACGCTTAAGGAGATTCAGCGCACTGGTGCCAAGCATAAAATTAACAAGTGTGCGGCTCATACACAAACCTGCACTGGTATGTAATTAGGCAGAAAAGCAGAAAAAGGATAGATGTAGTGGATTATAGAGACTCCACTGCAAAGGAAAGTCTGGAAAAATAATGCTGAAGGGACGTCAGTGGTGATGATAGCTGGCTGGCTTCACATCATCCCCTTTGTCCCTCTCTTTCCCTGCTCTGTTTTGTGTAAAAGGTCTCAGCCAAGACAAGTTGAGCTGCTTTAGTGAGTGTTTTTGTGTGTGTGTCAGGACCGCAGGGTGTAGCCCCAGACTTTTTTTTTCCTCCCCCCCCTCAGGCACAGCTTTCCCATCATGAATGCTCCTTTGTGCTCCAGAATGACACACAAGGACGGAGAGCAACTTCAGAGGAAAGGATAACGCAAGTTTGTTTCTGCACAATTAAGTGTAAAAATAGAGGAAGGTGCGACACGGCTCTCGCTTATAGCAAGGAGCTCACGGGCAGTATTTACAGCCCGAGATCCTGCGGCTCAAG